AAAGTCATACAATTGTATACGTAAGTACATTTGCGTTCGTCAGTACATTATAACAGCCATTTACCACCCACGTATACACTGTTGTTCAAATGGGAGTCCTATTTTAACCGACAAACATTGAAAGTACGAGAAAAAAATGTCACTTATGTACCTAAACTTCGACATCGAGACTTTTCCAGTGTCAACGTCGCTGCCGCTGTCGCAATCAACGCGTCCGTCGCCTTTCATCTTGGCCGCGCAGCTTCACCCGAGGGTTGCTGAGGGTTTGAAAAGTGTTTGTAATATGCACTGTATTGCTGTATATGTGTGGTTGTCTCGATGATAATCTTATATCCGTTTTCGTAGTTCAGCTTGGAAATTCATAGGCTTTATCAATGCAGGTGAATCTGAAGTTGGATAGCCCAACAAGGGTCTCTTGGCAGCTGATGCGAAAATATTTCACAAGTGCTTGCGGTTCCGCACGGTCAACTGTGCGCCTCTAGAAATTCGATAAACATTATCTAGTAGATTTTGACAATAAGTTTATTTAGGATAATGTATTATTTAAATATAGTTCGTATGGGGTTATATTAGAGTGACTGTTGAGTGTTCACTGCAATTCTTCTGTCGGAACAGCGAAATAAGGCCGAGACACGCTATTGAGTAAAAATAATAGTTAAAAATATAGTAAGGAACCGCACCTATGGCTAGGTACGTTTTTTATTTTTGGCGTAGTTATGTGTGAACTGTGTATGATACTGATTTTATTCGATAAATATGGTGACCGCGAAACCTTCGTATCCAATCAAATTGCCTTTGTGTTTCTACGCCTTGTGACTATAGAGATAAATTGTTGTTCGTCTACCACTGCATCTAATTATCAAAGCCAACTCGCCTTCTTGCGCGACAATAAAGATAATGGAATACAATGCCACATCTTGTAGTTCACTTTTTGTGAACGCTATTTTATTATCTTTCATATCCGTAGAACCTTTTGAAGCACCTGTGTAGTGATACCGTGTGGTAATCGTCGTTATATTGGCCGTAAGATCCATTAACCTTCATATCGCCATCTATCAAGATGATGCAGTCAAATACTTTAGTATATGCACATATCCGACACTTCTTCGAAAGGTAGCAGCACTCAATTGCTTCAGATGACTATGTATCTTGAGCACATCTAGTGTGTAATTTTATTTTATTTTGCATTATGTACCCAAATTATGCGATATAGATGTGTATCTCGTTGCGGATATATTGGAACAACAAAAACTCATTAAATTGCAGTGAATTATTTAAATCGATGTGAGCATCATCCCTGAAATACCCAAATCAACAACTGTGACAAGCTACAATTGTATACTACGCCACAATTTATCGTGATGATACATGTCGACGCTCGTCAATTAGCTGATCCAGTTATATTTGGACATCGAGAAAGCACTTCCTATCCTGGCGTAAATCTCTGCAACAGCTTAGTCTTCTTCAACACGCATAATTATATTGACGCACACTACAATTTTAAGTTATTTTTACCGGCATACTCTATTGCTCTTTGAAATATGTATTATGAATTTCTGATATGTCTGGATGACGCCTAAACTAATAAACTTGTTGTGGCACCGTAGTCGTCCGTGGCACCGTGGCATTAGTAAGGCTGTATGGAGTGTGTACTATACGGCGATACAGGGCGCTACTTGGGGGGGGGGGGGGTTAGCCATAAACAATTCTCGGTTTTTGTGATTTTTATTTATAAATAAAGCCGTCAGTCGGTGGCTCACACCCCGCACACGAATGACGCGAGTCATAAATATTATTATAGACTCAAGTCTGACTCTGAACTCTGAAAGTCTCATAGGCCATAGCCTTCTGTCTATTTATTTTATTTTAGTGTATCTATACGGTACCGACGAACATATTTTTTTTTAACAAGCCTGTGTCCAAACCCGCGTCCGGACCATTTGCAAAGGTAGGGTCGATATTTATGAGCCCACGTAAGGCGACCTTGGCCCCCAAGTACCGGACTATTCTGCGTGTGCACTTCACCGGTGGCCGGTGGGCAGTCGTGCACTCTAATATTAATATTGACAACGTGTACGTGCACATTTGTTAAGAACAATGTGAGATGGCTTTAGTTATTCATACTTAAGTCCCACACAGTACATGAGGCTCATTCTTTTGGTTCAGCCTGAGGTTGGCCTCAACTCTACTGACAATTTCAAAGGGTAGTACATTGTGCTTCCACGACTTGCACCCTCTTCAAAATCAAAACCCCTTAGTATCAAAATCCCTTAGTATATTGTACTATTTAGTCCTGTTTTTGGTAATAGTAACACAGACTTGAGAGGCTGAGACTATATGTCACTGTGTATACTATTATTAATTCAATATTGACTAAAGAAGGATCACGCTGAAAAGATATACTACACATCTTTAATTAATATAAGTATCGTTACCGAAACAACAGTCAAGTATCAGTTTTCAGTAATAATCTACACCTATCACCTGAAATAAATTACAACGCCTCAGACTAGAGTCAATGTTCTGTTGAACTTGTGAGCGTGAATTCGTGGATCCATACTTCTGAATAACATTATTTAAAAATAGCGGTTGGTTTGAACAATTGCATTGTCATAGCCTTCTGAATTTTTAAACAAGAGGCTATGGCACTGTAGTTCAACGATGTAGAATTTTGGTTTGTCCCGTTATGCCGTGATTTCAGGTCCAATGGATTTTTAACCGCAAATAATCACCTGATTCATATAGGAAAACAAGGTCCCGGGCGTTAATAGTTTTATGTTTATCGGTGCCGTATGGACCTTTTTCTAAAACAAAACTGAAAACAAACTTTTACAATTTATATACAGTTCCGCTGTCTAATTTAGAAGGCTATGGTTCCGCTTTTATTTAATTTATTTTTAAAATCTGGAGTAAGTTTTCACTGATTGTTTATATATATTTTTAAATTGGTTTGTTTTTGTTTGTTGTTTTTTTAAACAAAACTATAAAAATAATCAAAATTGAACAAACGCACAAACATGTAAAAAAAAAAAGGGTCTATTTTGGG